TAGACAGCGGTGTTCAAACACCGACAGTCTATCTTTATCCTGTTTTCTTAATGACCAAGTTTCTGCACCGTATAGCAGGAGTGTCCGAACTGTCGCGGCATACACTCGACCCTTTACAGATAGCCGGATGTCGCGATGGCGCCACAGATGTCTCAAGTTATTTGGTTATTTGGTAATCTCGAAAGGTAACTGAAATTCGAGAACCGATACACAGGCTCTTGAACCTTTCCTTTGTCGTTTCTACAGCAAACATGGGTGGGATGGCATCTTATCAACACCAACAATGCAGTCTACACGTCGTTCGTGAGAAACAACCATTTTATGGTAAAATTCACATTTCGGGAGTTGCTCGCCTGCAGTCCTTATCTCAACCCAACTGAATATATCGAAGTGCCAAGATCTAAATTTCCCTTGCTGAACTAGACTGCTTTGAACGCGGAGTGACAAATTATTCACACCTTAGTTGATAAAGAGCTGGTTAACAATCTGCACCGGATATTTATTGGCGTTCCGAATCAAGAGAGGCTCACTTTACTGATTTGACTTTTTAATAAATGGTTTTATTACTAAATTCCCTAATTTTTTTAGCACCCTATTTTGAATAATGTTTTTATAATGGCTCGAGAATATTTTCACATTTTATAACTTACCTTGGGTTCGATGACCACTGTATACAAGATAAGCATGTCAGCTGGATAAAGAAATATCCAGCACCTCTTTAATCTTCACGCACATCACATAATACGTGACTTTTTGTTCTTATCAGCTTGATATTCATGTTTTGTTCATTCGGTTCCTGTCCTGCATTAACACCCATGGAGAAACAGCTGAACTATGAGCATACTACTTTATAACTGGATAGTTGGTACAGGTAACGGAAAAGAGTAAAGGCATATTATATTAGCTATTTAATCATCGCCAATGGTACTGTTGGGGTTGCGGATAACCACCACACGCTACCGATCTTGGCCACTTATGGCATTATCAGTTGTGCTTTTCGTGTTTAAACGACGTTACTAGGTGATAGGAATACCCAGAAAACCCCTTTTAATAATTAACTGAATTCTTTAGATTAAGCGAGCAGTCATTAGCGTCTTGAGTGGTCGCGGAAATGTTTATGCCACGAAAACCATGTTTATTATTCCAGCCACAACCATTCCGTTACTGGAAGCGTTATGGACTGACTTATTTGTCGGCTAAGCAGCCCAGGGCTTCCTATGAAATACATCTGGGCATAATTGTCCGAAACAGTCAAATTGGAAATCAATAGGCAAACTTTTATCCTGAAAGGGATTCCGCAAAAGAAAATATCACTCGACATCACGTGGTAATTATGTTTCATGCAGGTGCATCTTGCCCTTTTTGTCATCAGTTACTTCGCAACAGGCATCCAGGCACGCAATTCATTCACTAAACTTTGCTCTTTCCATCTCCATTGGGTCAATGAGAAAGGTACTGTATGAAACACACTGAATGGGGAGTAATTAGCGTCAACCGTTTGTTAAGCAAATATAATTACTTTTAACTAATTATTAGGATATTGAAAGTTAGATGATTGTTCTTCAAGTAATATTAAAGAGCTTTCCAAACACTTTCTTTTCGGTCGTATTGGACCACCACTGATGCATGCATGCATCAAGGAGTCGGTTTTTTCCGCGCTACCATAATCAGCATCCGATACCATAGGCAAATGGATGCCACATTGACCAGTATCAACCAAACGCTGGTGCCAGTTCATGTAACCTGATGGTAGCATGCGTGACTTACCATAATGCACGTCCAGGTTCGTGTTATCATGCTGCCGGTGAATATGCGCAGGTGATGGTTCCTAACGAGCACTTATGTCGTTCTTCCAAGGTCTGTGACACATTGATGTATAAACGTCTGCATATCATTCTTATTGGCTAGTCGCTTATGTTCTCATGTGCTTCTTTATCAACTGTTTAGATCGGTTCTCCCAACACGGCCGATTCAGATTGTTTGCTCACGCAACGGCGTGTGGAAGCCGTGTGCACACAAATAGTCAATGAAGCGGTCCTGCGAATGTCAGGAGACAATGTCACATGCATTTTGATCGTCTTCCCAGACTCATATGGTGCTCATCTCTCATCCAGTCCGATAACAACAGAAGCAGGCGCATCTGCAACAAGTTCCACGGGACCAGCAGCCACTAAGCGATTGTCCAACTCCAGCGTAAAACAGTCCGACGCTATCGAACCGCCAACCAAGCTATCCCGTAGCGAATAGCGTGTATTTCCCCATGCAGTTCACCAAGAGTTGTTCGGTCCACGTTCAAACCGTTCATGGCACCCCAACCCCTGGATGCGCCAATCGCTTGTTCTGCTTGTTGTGTGCAGGCCATCCGTTCCTCCATATCAGCTTAGGGCGAGTATCGTGAATGCATAATGGTATCGGATATTGTGAATTTCATCAATCTTTACCGTGTGGTGCAGCACACTGTGTGCCATTGCAATTCGGTTATCCGTTCATAAGCATGTCTGTTTCTGTCGGCAATGAGAAATTTGTGAGAAAATGGGTGGTCTTCTCTACCGGGTTTTCATCGAGCATACAGTTTTGCTTGCTTTCATACTTCCGAATCGTTCGCTCGGTTGTAATCCAAATGAATTGCTTGAGAGAGTTGCGCGTTTATGGCGTCACTTCTGAGTAGTATATGTAAGCTCCGTGGATCTCCTTTAACGTAAATCTTATCTTGGTCTGATTACTCGCTTGATTATTCACAATCCCAGTTGAGTTGAGCAAAACGTAAACACCTTATCGTACGGGATACGTATATGAATATCAATGCGGTTCTGTAAGAAATAAATAACTAAAATTTAGTACACGTAAATAGGAGATTGGCATACATCGATATTGAAAGGAGTAAATACTCACATCAAGATTTCCCGAGTCCGCGTAAATAAACAACTTAATATAGTCCACAGAAGTCGTACGTAATAGTCCGGTGCGCAATCGATTGTGTGGGACCCCGATCACCCAGACTAACGGGCTAATGTCACAAGGTCAAGCACATTGATTGGCTGGGATCACGAATACGCGAATGGGTCAGAGTGGTGAGGTGACAGGCGCGGTAAGTACGTGTATGGTCACATGACTGGTTGCATTGCCCTAGNGCCCTAGTGCGTGCCGGCGTCGCATGACTGGTAAACATTGTCACGGTGTGCGTGTGTGTTGTGTGTCACATGACTGAATCAACGAATGTGAACACGTGTGTAGGTCGGATGGGCAGATGTGTGTGGGGTGTGATAGAACCCGATCGGGAAGCGTATCGGCCGCTGACTAAAAGTTCGCCAGGGCCACATCGTAAATCTTTGAGTTTACAGTATATTATATGCCACTGAAGATTGTTGAGTATTCCTCGAGATTTCGCATGAGTACTGTGCATAAGAACCATTATCGAATAAAATTAATTTCATTCCTCCAATTGACGAAGCGACCAGACCATAAGCTTTCTGCTAGCTCATATAGATCTTCATCAATAGATTAATACCTGACTTTTTTCCGAAAAGGAACTGTAGAACAGCAACGCGCGATTCTAGATCGCAGACAGGAAATACAACCGTTTACGTGTTCGCTTTCTGTCCGAATAATCACAGTTTGTTGACAACTCGATAAATGTTGTGGTATGTAACGTGGATCGAAACCCAGAACGAAGCACACCTTTGTTATCTATTTATACTAGTAGAATTTAACGCCCTATTAAATTGGTTTCGAGCGGTTTTGACTTCGCTATCAATGAACCCCGAGCAATCTCTAACAAAAATGAGGTCGCTGCGACTTGTTACTGTTATTCGCGACAGCATTTTTGTGTCTTACCCGACGAAGAGCATTAAACTCGTCTGCAATGGTTACCATTTCTCTCTTCTGGGGATCTAATTACCACGCTCAGCGATAAATCTCTATCGCTCGTAGGATACAACCAAGAAAGGTACCAAAATCAAACTACTTCGCTGACCTAATGCATCGGAACACTCCGATGAGCATATGGCAAGAGTGAAAAATAATCCACCGATACTGGAAAATTAAAGGAACTGAATAATATTTAGAATAGATCAAAGTCTCGATCATACTAGCATGTAGATGATCTGAATAAACTAATACTTTTTATAAGATGGTTATTGGAATCCACTGGACCACATGCCTCCTTCGATTAACATCTGCCTATAAATTATACTACTCGAGAGTAGTCGCTATCTAAAGTTATTTTTATCATCCGAAGTTGAAATCTCATTACCTCATGCCAAATAATAAATCGGAGTGCGCCTATAACTTTTCAACTTCAATTAAATACAAGCGATTGCATTCTGCTCACAACTCTACTGAGTGATCAGTACTTCAGACGTCACGTGCCTGTGATTAAGCCTCGTCTATCAAAATCCTGCCCAGTCGGAGCGAACCAATAATACACCATAGACAAAAGTACCTATTGAACGAGTGACCGAGCGAAGATAAAATTTCCAGTGGTTGTAGCGTTTCACTGTTCTTTCTCCAACCCGAGAACCTCATGCCATTGACCGTCGATCGAGTAAGCTCTAGAAGGGAAAAAAGGAACCCGGTCGTAATTGACCTCGGTTGACCGGGTGTGGAAGTGAATCACATCCAGATGGTTCAAAAACTGTCACCATGCTCGGGCCTGAATGTTGGAATGACTCATTGCGCGTATAGGTTCCTTCTAGGTCTTCAATGGCCTAATGAGTTAGTTCCATTGAGGCCTGATTTCCCTTGAAAAACGCCATTTCCGTTAAACCAAATGTAATTGCCCCGATATTTCTGGTACTGGAAGGCAAAGTTAACAAGGGTACAAGGATGCAGTGAGAAAACTCACAGTATTTCACCCGAATAGCAAATTCAAATTTGAACTTATTCACTAGCTAACATAAAGTATATTTTTTTCGCCGCAATTCCCTGGTTGGCTATTGCATTCTATCCGCAAAGCCAGTGGCAACCATCTTTCACTTCTAGCTTCTCTCATTGTTACTCATTTTCTTATATATCTTGCATCATTTATCCCCGTCGCATCTTCTCGCAACCTGATTACATTTAGGCGATCTTTATGGTCCAGTGAGACATGTATCGATAAGAATAACTCCCAATTATCTATAATTCTTGAAATTTTTCTGCTTCCCCAGTAAGGTTAATCTCTGGGGCAGCTCAATCTTGTAGCAAGCTTTTTCACTTCGCAGATGCAAAATTCATACCGAAAATGGCTAAACGCCAATAAAAGCTTGAAACTCATCAGCTGGATCTTTAATTAGCGGCAAAATATCGTCTACGTACTCCAGATCAGGCCGTCTGAAACCTTGCGAGCGAAATTGATACCACTATCTTCACACAACGATAGGGCTGTTTCACGAATCGAATCTAAAACGAAGTTAAATAGAAACGGAGAGAGAGAGAACAACCCTGACGAACATCAATTTCTTTATTAAACTCGGATGAAAAAATACCGTTAGCTCAAACTCGACTTCGGCTGTTAGTATAAAGAGATCGCCAAAGTGAAATAAACTTATCGGGTACACCCTTCACAGAGAGCATAGCAATATGCTATGTGCAACTGTCCAATTCGCCATACCTTCGCTTTCCACACAATTGGCCCAAATTATTTATCAAGAGCTTCGGATTATGTAGCGAAAAACAAGGAACAATTTCCAGTGAAAGTTGATCATCTTTTGTTTGAATATCTTCGTAAGTTAGCACTTCCGAGTAAATAATGGTTACATTTTGAGTCATTTTCACACCTTTCGGGGTCTACTGACATCTTGGCAGTTTGATTCTATGCTGTTGCGCCTTGCTGCTTATTACGCAGCACTAAACTCAATTGAAGCTAGCTGTAGCGTAATAAAGCATTATGTGAAGCAAAGCATGCGCCAAGTAAGTCAATACCAAAGTACACGCGTCTGTTGTGTCTCGTTAAACTATAACGATACGTATTCCAACGATTCCAGTAAAAAGACAGCTGGAAAACAGTGAGAGCCTTTATTGATATCATCATCCAAAACGTGGTCGTGGTCAAGTGTCGATTTACTTCCGGGTGACAGACTGTCTGATCTAGACTGTGCAGACGACATTGTGCTACTAAGTGACGATCCAGGTAAGTTGCAAGCTTTTCTGGATAGTTTGAGTGCTAGCGTTGCCATGTTCGGTATGCGTTTTGCACCTTCGAAGTGTAAAATGCTACTACAAGATTGGGTTGATCCAGCGCCCAGTCTCACCCTAACTGGGGAAGTAGACAAATATTGTTATCTAGGCAGCTATATCTCACCCGGCGGACGCATCACAGATGAAGTGTTGGCGCGCATACAAAAGGCTCGATTGGCATTCGCCAACTTGAGACACTTGTGGTGCCGTCGCGACATCTGGCTGTCTGTGAAGAGTTGAGTGTATGCTGCAACAGTTCGACCAGCCCTGCTCTACGGTGCAGAGATTTGGCTACTAAGGGAACAGGATAAAAATAGATTGTCGGTGTTCGAACACCGGTGTCTACATAGCATTGCATGTATCTGGTGGGGTAACCGGACTAGCAATGCTGAGGTTAGGCGTAGAGTTTTAGGCAGTCGCGGTCGTCCACTAGAGCAAGTGATCGACCTCCATAGATTACGCTGGTTGGGACATGTGTTACGTATGTCGCCACGGCGAACGATGTTTGCCAAGGCCGGTAGCGATTGGAAAAAACGAAGGGCGGTCAAGCTGAGACCTGGCACGAGGGTATGAAACCCTTAACCAGGAGACTGGGTCACATAGGCCCCGTTAGGCTCCCTGGCTGTGGACCTCGGGATGATGGTCACCGATGGTTAGCTACACTGAGTGATATGGCTGGGTGTCACAAACAGTGGCGCTCTTGCATCCACTCGTTATTTTTCTAACACCACTCTATATGAATTGCCCACCATCCGCTTGAATTTGCTTCGACATTCCAATCTACATTTTGCTTTTTTATCCAAATGAGCAACCAAAACCGGCGCACGAAAGTGCATGGTTAATGGTTGTAAAAACTGAACTGAACTGAACAGGATATCAGCTCAAGATCGTTTTCAAGTGTGTCCGAGGAACAAATTCGTTTTGCTCTAGAAAACAAGCCCTTTACTAGGGCTCGCTTGTATTAGTCTTGAGTTCTTCTCTCTTCTATATGTATCCTGGAATGGCTTTAAGCGCTTCTTGTAAATCGTGTCATGGAAATTGAGTGGATGAAAAGCAGTCGTATTTTCTTGACTCGGTTGTACGCCTGCTTG